TCCTCTCTCCCTCCTCTTCTCCCCCGTCTCCCCCTCTCTACATACTTCTTCAGCTTCCTTATCTTGGGCCTGCCCACCTTGGCCACAGGCTTTGACTTAAGGAGCTATCCACAGTGGGCAGAAGTTTTCCAGTCTCTTCCTTCACATTCTTGCAAGAAGAAATTGGATTGGCTCAATTCGATGGAGCCCAGTCAACCTAGCCAATGGAGCCTTGGATCAGGTATACATCTCTGATTTAATTAGATTTGGCTACCCCTCCCAGGGGGACGATGATTCCCTTCATTCTGAGTGTGGCCTGGCAAAAAAGGATACTGTCGTTTGCAGAGAAGTGTGGTATGTTTTTCCCCAAGCGCCCATCAAGGTCAAGAAGGGATGCTCATGTCACTGACCTGAGATCTGACCTTAAACTCTGAAGGCCCTGAGAAATGTCTGCTGATACACTGGCCTCTCAATGTCCTTGGATTTTGCCAGGCAAAGTCTGCCTGCTTTATGTTCCTGTCTCGGCTCCAGGCCTTTCTCTAAAGAGAATGACAAGCTCTTCCTGCAGGTTGAAAACTTTCCAGCTTGAAAAATTCAGCCTCTTGGCCACTTAATTCCACGGCTTCTTTTGCCAAAAGATTACAAACTTCTTAAAGGCGGATAATCTCAGAGATCAGACCCAGTGATCTCATCTTACAGATAGAAGAACTGAGGCCCAGAGAGAGGCAATGTCACAGAGTGAGATGGGTCAGGTGGTACCCAGAGCCTCACCGGTGCCTTGCCATGACTTCTGCACAGTGCGATCCCAATAGACATTCCTCGACTCCCCTCTCTTTTTTCTCTTTGGCTTCTCTCAAGTTCACAGATGTTTGCTCATATCCCTTTCCCCTTCACTGACGGCCGCCTCTGGGATCGATTTGCATCTTCCTGCCAGGCAATGGTCTTTGGGGTTGTGTAACGGAAGACGAGATGAGGCAGGAGTGAAACTCAACCTGGGTCTATCAAGCCGGGATCTCTCTAGGCCAACACCACTATAACACAGGAGAGACACCAGAAGAGCACCTGCCTTCCTTCTGTGGGGTTGGCAGTCACCACAATGTACAATGAGGCCACTCCAGCTCCCGTCAAATGTCATGACTTTTGCAGAGTTCCCAGGCCAGCTACATCCCCAGAGTTGGGCTTGCATTGTCTTCCTCCCAGTGAGAAAATTCATGTAGCTGTGGATCCACTTTCTTCCCAAAAGCCTTTTCTGACCGTTGTACCTCCTGGAACTTAGTTCACCAAAAGTCACCTTACACAGTGGGGAATTTCATTCCTTTCCTACCATCTCCTGGTTATCAACATGGACTCCCGGCTCCTGAAGGCAGCCAGCTTCCCTCCACCAGCCTTGCTGGCTTTCCCAACAGCCCTTCAAACAGTGTGAGGGGGCTGAAGGAGAAGACCCATGGTACAGTGCTCACTTAGCATGTATGCAGTCCCGGGTTCTTAGCACAGTAAAATAAATAAGTAGACAAATATGTAAATGTGAGGCCTGCTGGAGGTAACTCTTCACTGGGAAAAGCTCTGGAGATAGCTGAGAGAAGGGGTGGGAGGGAAGGAGCTGTATATTTCTTTCACCAGCAGCTTGGGCAAGTATAGATTAGGAGAAGCAACTGCTTGAACCAGAAAGATGCTGGGTTTTCATTTACAGACCATGTTGTGACAAACAAACAAACAAAACCCTCACTCGTGCAGTTACACAATGCCAGTGTCTTTTGCCTAGGACTCTGCACTCAGCCACTTTTCTGACTTCAGTTTGCAGGTGGAGCTAGAGTTTTCTCTAGTCCTGCCTGGCCCACAGTCAGGACAAATCTCTCTCACCCGCCAGTCCCACAGCTGCTCAGACCCGACCAAGTAAACACAGAGACTTATATTGGTTACAAACTGTATGGCCATGGCAGGCTTCTTGTTATCTACTTCTTCTATCTTAAATTAACCCATTTCTATTAATCTATACTTTGCCACGTGGCTCGTGGCTTTACCGGTACCTTACATCTCCCTTGTCATGGCAGCAGCTGGCAGTGTCTCTCTGACTCAGCCTTCCACTTCCCAGAATTCTCTTCTCTGCTTGTCCCACCTATACTTCCTGCCTGGCTACTGGCCAATCAGTGTTTTATTTATTAACCAATCAGAGTAACACATTTACAGAACATCCCACAGCATGCAGGTGAAAGCTAGATCAACCACAACACTGGAAAGGAAGGTCCTGATTCGAGCCAAGCAAACCCAGGCCTTCACTCTATCAGAAGGACACACAAGGCCTCCCTACTCAAGTCCCCATCCCAAGCAGCAAGGCCTATCACCAGAGGCCACTTAGAAGAGTTCTCAGCAGGAAAACACAAAAATGTGTGTTGGAGGAGAGAGTGACTAGAAGGTCTGAGGAAGGAAGTGGCAGTCTAGTGGACTGGGAAAGAGCAGGGATCCAGGATCTGAGCCTATGGGAACCAGGAAGTGGTTTGATGGACACCTATGCAATGTCTCACAGCACCGTCCACTCTCCAAGGGGAGCCAGCCTGGGGCAAGGAGACAAGTATAGGGTCTTCAGGAACAGAAAAAACATTGACCTCAGTCAGCTGATAGGGAAAGAGCAAAACTGGGCCAAGGTTCCCTGAAGACAAAAGAACTTATTTCCCATATTAGGATGAAGAAGGGCTCAGGATTGGTTCCCACTATGTCAGCTCTGCTGACTTATAATTACAGAAAGAAAAAAAATACAAAGTCATCTTTACAGACCAGAAAGATCTTGGTACAGGAAAGGAACTCAACCACATTGCCCATATTCCACAAGACAGACCCACCCACAGACCCCCGATTACCACTGGTTCCCATAAAGCTAAGGCTATTGAGTGACTTCCTCAAGGTCACCCTACTTGGAGGTTAAGTTAGCTACCCATGGTCACAGCTACAAGAGATCAAGCCGATATTCGAACTCGGGGTCAGGCTGACTAAGAGTCCCCTGTGTTGTGCTCAACCATGGCCCAAACTCCACAGAGCCCCCCACAAGTGCTCTGTGGGGATGTTGTGTATTCTACAGATTGTTCAGCCTCTCCTCACCTCTGAAAGGTGAGGAGACTTACAGCCAGGGCGAAGACAAGATGAGACAATTCATTCTCAGTTGCTTTGCGGGTGGCGTGCCTGTCACTGGGTGTGTAAACTCCAGCCCTGAGAGTCAGGTAAGGAAATCAGAATTTGCTGAAAGGCTGGAGTCTGGTACTATTAGTTAATATTTTGTAAACCCAGGAAATCATCCAGATGTTGGAGCATAAAAATAACTCACTGCTGAGCCAATGGGGCATACTGCTAAGGACAAACCCCCAGGAACTCAGGTGCACTTGTGTTCCTTTGGGAGGGGAGACAGCATGGGGTGGGGTGGGGTGGGGGACTGTGCCTGGCACCCAGCACACATTCTGCCTTGTACCAGTTGTTGGTTGTAGATGATGGGCAAGGTCTCTGGGCCTGCAATGCAGCTTGTTTCTTCTCTCTCTCTCTCTCTCTCTCTCTCTCTCTCTCTCTCTCTCTCTCTCTCTCTCTCTCTCTCTCTCTCTCTCTCTCTCTCTCTCAGACAGAGACAGAGACAGAGACCCACTGAGCACTTTGGTTCTGGTTTAAAAGTCAAATGAACTCTCCACAGGTTGTGAACATGTATTCTGTTTTGCTTTCTGCCCATGGCCTGGTTCATTCAGTATTCAAAGCTTACTACAAAACAAAAACCCATCCACCACTCCAAGCCCCGCCTCTTCCAGCAAGCAGCCCTGGGCTCCTTCTGTCCTCTAGACTAACCCTCTAGTCATTCTTTGCTTCCTGCACTACCCTTGCCCACCCAGCAACCTGTCCCCTGTCCAGCCGAATAGCTAGGAGCTGCAGAATTAGCTCTTCTCTTGAATCTAAAACCTTCCATAGCCATAACAGACGCCTGCCCCTTGTTAAAAACCTTAGTTAACTCTTCATTCAAGTACCTTCCTTCAGGATGCCTTCCTACTGCATCCTGGTTGACTGCTCCTCCAGAGGTCCCATGGTGCTTTGTGCTAGTCCCTGTATTAAGAGCTCACTTATTCCCCTATTCTTTCACAGACTGTGGCCCTCCCACAAGACAGAGCTCCTGGAGGATACAGACTGAGGGGCTTCCTGGTCCCTGCATGCCCGGATAGGCTCATTGGATGTTTTACAAATTAATCACTCAAAGGATTTCTGCAGCAGGTCCGTTCCAATACCTCCAATATGCACCCGACTCCACCACTTGGTGAGACATTCAGCATCTTATATTCCTCCTGGAGGCCTCCGCGCTAATCTCAGTTTTAACCCAAACAGTGGAGATCTGTGGTCTAGTGATGACCGCATTATACACTGCCATCGAATTCTCCCAGCTACAATGCCCCAGCTTTTAGCATGGCCAGTGGAAAATTAATTGGTCGCAAAGTGCATATCTAATTACAACATTCCGCCCCTGCCACAGCGATGCACAAACGTTAATTGTTACATGTGAATCTCAATAACCTATGGTGGCACTTAATGCCGCATTAATAACGCCACTTGTCTCCCCCACAACATCTCTCCCAGTGCATACACTACGCTTTCTCTTATCATTCATTAGGACAGACTTTACACTTTAAGCGCGGAAGTCCTCATCCTTACAGCCTGCCTGATTCTAAAACCAAGTGTTTCTCTGCAAGAGAGACGATGCCTTCACCCTCAGTTCTGTCCCCGACAGCAGAGGGCCCCGCTAGCGCAAGAGGTCGTTGAAGGGAGGATGTTGAAGGGCAACACTGGTCTGTCCAGGCAGTTCAGGCGGCATCCCCGGCGTCCCCTTGGTTCCCAGCTCTCTAGGGCCCGCCATCCCAGGAAAGAAAGGCGAACTACATTACCCAGCAGGCTTGCCGTCTCCCTCTTTCCTTTCAAGTCTTGCACGTGGCCGGAGGGGGAGGCGGGGCCTGGACGTCACTCTCCTACATTCTCTTTCCCTGTGTCAGTACAGGGATCATTTTTTTCCTTCCTCTACTCCCTCCCTCTGCCTGCCCCTCCCTCCCTGTCTCCCTTCCCTCCCTCCCTCCCTTCTCGACTGGATCGGTCCGCTGGGGTGCCGGATCCCCTCACGGTTGAGACGCGCCGAACTCCCAGCAGGAGTCGGCTCTCTGGAGCCTGGTCCCTCCCTTCCCCTTCCCTGCCCCCTTCCCCCACCCCCGACGCGGGCTCCGCGCGGCCGCCGGAGGAACCCCGAGGTGAGCATCTCTTGTCCGCCCTCGTCTTTTAGTCCCCTCGGCTTGCGGGTGGATTCGGGGACCCGGGAGGAGGGCTACATGACGTGCTCTTGGTGATAGATAAATCCGGGAAAACCGCTCTAAACAATTCGCCCCCTTCCCCCTTCCAGTGTCTTAGCCAGCCCGGTGTCCGCACCCTTCCACCGTCCCCTCCTCTGGGTCTAGGGGGCATCTCAGTCTCCCATCTCGCCCCTTCCCAGGGTTTGTCCTGTCGTGGGCCCCGCTCCCCGCGCTGTAGGGATCGTGACACCGGACCTCCGAAACCCAGAAGGGTTCCTGGGGGGACGCGCGTCTGGAGCCCCACTCGCGTTGGAGCTGCGCGGTGTAGCCGATGTCATGTGCCCGGTTCCGACCCGCGGGGAGGAAGCCCGCGAGCGAGATTCCTCTCCCTTTTGTTTTGGAGCCTCGTTTGCTGCAACGAGCAGTTGCTCCAGCGCCAGGCAAACTTGCAGCTGTTCCGACCGCGCTCTGCGCCGAGGTCGGAGCGCGGCTGGAGAGGCGGCGGCGGGCGCGGCTGCAGCACTCGGGGCTGCGGGAGGGAACCGTGTGTGTGTGTGTGTGTGTGTGTGTGTGTGTGTGTGTGTGTGTGTGTGTGTGTGTGTGTGTGTGTGTGTGTGTGTGTGTGTGTGTGTGTGTGTGTCCACGCTGCCCTTCCCTCCGTGCTGACGGATGGTGTCTGTGGCCGCGACAGTCCCCGCGGGCTCGGCGATATCTGTGGATGGCTCTCTTCTAGACAGGCAGCAGACCCCTCCTTTCGTCTCTGGTGAGCCCGCGGGCCTCGGAGGGCGCGGCGGATGGGAGCAGTGGCGGCAGCCTTGGGAGATCCATTGCAGGGGCAGCTTTGGCCGTTCTCCGCCGTGGCGATTCTGTTGGCTTTAAGAATTTTCATTCCTGTGGCCTCGGAGTAGTGGGGCCTGGGGGATAGATACGCCCTGCAGATCTGGGGTTAAGTTGACAAGCTCCCAAAAGCTGAATGAGGGGGCCTAGCAGGTGGCGGTCACAGACGCGGGTTTTAGGGGGAAGATGGGGGCGGTGGCTTGGCTGAGGCTGATGTCTAGGGGACCCAGAGGGCCGCGTGTGGATGCCACCGGAGGAGGCGTCCCCAGGACCGGGAGTCAGAGCTGGTTATTTATTGGCATTAAAAGACAATCCAGGATTCAAACCCTTCTCTCGGCCTCCTTGGCTCTGGTTTTGCAGAGTTCTCCGGGTAAGGGCCAGGGGGCGTGTGAGCTGAGAAGGGGGCGCGGCATGTAGAGGGGAGGGATCGGTGGCTGTGCCCTGCGTGTCCCTACCGGGAGGGAGGCGTCGCCTCCCCCGCCCAACTGTTTGTGTGTGTACACACAGCTTGGTCTTGGAGGGGGCGGCATAGTGGAGAACAGCGTAGGGTGGATGCCTCATGGGATTGGCCCAGTCAGCCCCAAATGGTGTGAGTTGGGCTCTCTTATCTTATGTGTGTCCACGTTTGCGTTTCTAAGGAATTCTTCGCCTAGCGCCGGGGAAGACCTTAAGGTGGCTTGGGTTCTCCGGATGCGCGCGGCGCGAGTCCCAAGCCCTATGTGGCCTTCCCTCTGAGTTTCTCTTGTCCCCATAGTCCAGTGACTGGCTGCCCACCCAGCCGGCTGGGAGGATCCACCCAAACTCTGGCGCCCCACCCACCCATCCTGCACTCCGAGCGCGGGGGCTCAGGATCCTTGACCTTAGTACGGAGGGTCCCGGTGATGCCCGTGCCTGCGCATTCTCTCAGTGTCTTCCCAGATCTTGGAGAGAACCCACCCGTTCAGCCAACCCCTCCTAGCTCCCAGTTCTTCAGTTGAGGACCAAAGCCTGCCGGATAGCCGCAGCCTAGGCCCTGTCTGCCTCTGCCTGCCGGCCTGCGGGGTCACACTCCACTGCCTGCCCCGCCCGCCCCGGCTGTCATTTTTGAAGCGCTGAGATTATCTTCCTCCGGCTAGGGGCCCCTGCACCGCCTGGACGCCTCGGAAGCTGCAGGCTCATGTGTTGGGAGCCTCCCCAGGTCGAAAGTGACACAGCTTAAGCACCGCCTCTGCTCGGAGGAAGGCGAGGCAGAGCACAGGGAGGAGCTATGGGCTGTCCTGCCGCGTTCCTCTTGCCCAGCGTAGGACTTGGGCCCAAACCTCTGGAATCTCCGCTCGCAGCAGCCCTGAGCCTTGCAAGGAAATCGCCAGGATTTTCAAATAACCCAATTATACAGGAACAGATTGCCCTCAACAGACATTAGATAGTGGCAGGACGCTCTCCGGTGGCCCAAGGAAAGTCCTCTGAGTGTGTGAAATAGGACTCCACAGACAGGGCAATAGGCTCCGCGTGTGTCCAGCGCCTGGCCTGATGAGGAACGCCCAGCTCATAGGAAGTCATTTGAAAGGCGTTCTGGGTTTAGTGCCATTGAGTTGAGTAGATTTCTAGAATAAGAACATGTTTGTATGATTTTACAGGGCAGCTTCCCCCCCTACATGTCATTACATATATGAAGAAGATCCTGTCAGGTAGGGAAGGACAATCCCACTGTACAAATGAGGACACCAAGGCTCGGGAAATGATGTCACTTGCTTAGTGCCTAAGTAAAGGGCAGCTTTCCTGCTCTTGTGGTTTCGCTTTGCAGGCCATAACTTTATTGTTGTTTAAGACAGGGGCTCCCCAGTGTTGCCTGGCCACCACCGCCTCCCAACTGCTGGGATAACAGGTGTGTACCTAATACCCACAGCTTTTATTTAGTGACCATTTTTTTTTGAGGGTGGGTTCTTGGTACCCCCAGGAAATAGCCTGAGAACAGGGTAAATTATGCTGGTACTTGTTCTTTGTCAAAACACTTTTTTGTTGTTATTTGAGACAGGGTCTCACTATATTGCCTTGCCTATGTAGACCAAGAGAGGCTAAGATTAAAGGTGTATACCACCTGTGTTTGGATTTCATCAAAATAAATAACAGTGAATAATGAAAACAGCCACTATAAACCACGGGCCTTTATCACCCATCTGATGATGTGATGTTGATGAGTACATGCCAGCTGTGACATACCTATTATATATCAATATATAATAAGCACATAGGGTACACATGCACTTGTACATAGAGGTGTGTTCATGGAGTCCTTGGTGAATCCAAGATGTGTTTGTTGCACAGGTTTTTGTTGTTTGTTTCTTTGAGACAGACTGGACTGGGGTGAGTGCAGCCCAGAGTGGTAGATCTCGAACTCATAGCAACATTCCTGCTTCAGGATCCCAAGTGCTGCCAAGATGTGTTCTTTACTGCTTCCAGTGCCATCAAATTGACCATGCAACCCTCCCTGTGTTCCTGTCTTCCTCCCTCTCTAAGGAACGATCCAACCTAGGAAACAGCAAAGCATCCCTACCCATCTGTGTGAGCGCCTCAACGTTCATGCAAATGAAGGTCCTCAGACATGGGCTTGGGGGGATTTTCAGGTTAGCCACCTGATCAGTAAATTATCCGAACCACTCATTCACTCACAAATGGGTACTGGGCACCTTTGAGCTTGTGTATCTTGAAGTACATGCAAGAGAAATTAACAACTGGTCCCTGCTATGTGCAGAACAATGATTCTCAACCTGTGTGTCTCGACCCTTTGTGAGAGTTTGGATGACCTTTCACAGGGGTCGCCTAAGACCATTAGAAAACACAGATATTTACATTACGAGTTATAACAGTAGTAAAATTATAGTTATGAAGTAGCAATGAAAATAATTTTATGTGGTTGGGGTCACCCCAACACAAGGAACTGTATTAAAGGGTGGCAGCATTAGGAAGATTGAGAACTGCCTTGTTGGTGTCTAAAACGGCATTCTAGCTGTTGTGGTGGATATAGGAATTTTAACTTCTCAAGTATTTATGATGGATCCATGTAGGCTACACAATCTATGTTGTTTTGGGGCACACAAGCTACAGCAGGACTAGTTAAGTTACACATCAAGAGTAGAGCCCTAAGAAGGTAACCAATCATCAGCATTCCATAGTGCTTACCCTGGGACCTAATCAGGTTCACATATGTCGGTTGCCAGGTCTCACGCTGGCACTTAGCATCATAGAGCGAAGGGAGAGGAAAGCTGTGGTGGGAATGGTCCTCATGTCTCTGTTACCTGAACCACAGGCCGTTTGGAGTCTTCTTGTGGGTCCAGACCTCTGGGTTAAATGACCCTTTCACAGGGTTGGCCGTAGAGTTGGAAAACAGAGATATCTATATTACAGTTTATAACAGTAACAAGGTTACAGTTATGAAGCAGCGAGGAAATAATTTTGTGATGGGGGGGGGGTCACCACACCATGAGGAACTGTGTTAAAGGGTCACAGCCGTAGGAAGGTTGAGAACCACTGTTCTAGAGCTATGTCCTTCTGCAAGAGGTAGGCAGCTGATGGAGACGTACCCAGAAGCCAACCAGCAGGTGCTCTGCGCACCAAGACACTGTGAAGATGTTCTTTCTGCTCCCATCCCCATCCCCAGCTCTACTGTGCCATGACTCAGAGAGGAGCTGTGGTTTTGGTCAAGGTCTCACCAGGTCCTGCAGGGCTTACAAGGTCTGTGTAGAAGTTAATATGAGGTCTATGATATTAGTATGTTAGTATGTGATGTTAGTATGATTTCCTGCAGGGCTTACAAGGTTTGTGTAGATGTTAGTATGAGGTCTGTGATGTTAGTATATGATGTTAGTATGAAGTCTATGATGTTAGTTTGTTAGTATGTGATGTTAGTATGAGGTCTGTGATGTTGGTGTGTTAGTATGTGATGTTAGTATGAGGTCTGTGATGTTGGTGTGTTAGTATGTGATGTTAGTATGAGGTCTGTGATGTTGGTGTGTTAGTATGTGATGTTAGTATGAGGTCTGTGATGTTGGTGTGTTAGTATGTGATGTTAGTATGAGGTCTGTGATGTTGATATGTTAGTTTATGATGTTACTATGAGGTCTGTGATGTTGGTGTGTTAGTATGTT